CTTTCCCAATTTTTTTTTTTTTTTTTTTTTTAAAAAAAAAACCCCGCCCCCCCCCCCCCCCCCCCCGCTTTTTGGATTTTTTTGGTAATTGAAACAAATTTTAGGAACAATTGTAAAATAGAATATCAATTAAATTGACAATTTTCATGTAAAACAAAGTCAAACGAATACTTAAAAATAGATGATTTTTGATTTCCTTGGTTTTTTTTTTTTTTTTTGGACAATGGAAACAAGTTTTAAGAATAATTGTAAAAGAAGATATCCATTAAATTGACAATTTTCATAAAAAAATAAAGTCAAACGAATACCAAAAAAATGCTTTTATTTCAACATTTTTCATGTTCAAAATTATATCAATCAAACGTTATTAATTGACAATTCTCAATAAAACAATTTTTAGGCAATTCAATTCCCTTAAATTCATTTTATTTCCACCCAAATTCTATTTTTTGCAATCAAACATACCCTAACTAAGTTCTTTTTTCTTAAGAAATCAAACTTCCATGCATATAGTCCAGTTTGACGGTTGGGTTTTTATTCTGGTCTTTAAATTCTTAAAAGTTAGTTCATCATCATCAATGCTTGTTTTGTGAATTGAAGTATATATAAAACCAGGCTTTGGGTCATAATTCAGTCAAGAAAATCTGCTAAGCAATGGCGATTGAAGTTTTTCCAGATAGTCCGAGTGTGGGACTGAGCCCCAGAATCTCTTTTTCTCATGATCTTTCTCAAACAGATGTCGTACCAGTCGAACAATACATTGGATCAAGTTCATCATCAAGTTTAGATTTTGATTTTTGTGTTTTTAGAGAAAGTTTTGTGCAAGAATCTTCCTTGGCCGATGAACTTTTCTTCGATGGAAAGATTCTTCCCATTGAAATCAAGAAAAGACTAGCCCCGGCTGCCCTGTCAAAAAAGACGGCGCCACCGGTTTCACCACTAGCACCTCCTCTTCCTCCGCCAATCTACAATCAGATTCTCGACTCTAGCAAGAGCTCGAAGAAAAGTCCTACAGAATCAGATGAAAAGCAACATTCTTCCAAATCATTTTGGCGGTTCAAGCGGAGTACAAGTTTAAATTGCGGCAGTGGTTATGCTAGAACATTATGTCCTTTACCAATTTTATCCAGAAGTAATTCAACAGGTTCAGCATCAAGCAGTAAGCGTTCTTCAGTGAAACAATCACAATTCGTATCACCAAATTCAAATACTACACACCAAAGGCCTCCATTGAAGAAAACTCATGCTTCTGCTTATGCCAGCATTAATGGGATTAGAATTAATCCGGTTCTTAATGTTCCTCCTGCAAATCTCTTCGGATTCAGTTCGATTTTTTCTGGTGGCAAGGACAAAAACAAAAACAAAAACAAAAAGAAGTGATTACAGTTTCTCAATTCTTGAAACACTGTGACAAGTTTGAATTTCTTTTACTTTGTGTGGTTCTTGGTTAATTTGTGATTTGTTCAGGCTAGTGAAACATGATTTAGATAACGGGTCTTTTCTAATATTACAGATCAAACACGTATTAATGAAGGAAGGGCAATGGGGCCTAGGCTGGCTAGGCATGCAATTATTCAAGCCACATGCATGCAGCTTTCTGTGTGACAGGAAACAGGCAACATTTGCTTTCAAGTTATGTCTTATTGGATGGATTTTATTTTTCATGCTTTTGTTTTATGTATGCTCGCCCATTCAGGTGTGTATGGTAATATTTTAGTCCTTTTCTTTGTATGGAGAATGATTTATTAAACTTCAGTTTTCTGTTAAGAGAATAAGTGCTTCTTTGGTTTTGTTACAAATCAAAATTTTGGTGAATTTTGACGTATGTTGATGAAATTTGTGGTTGTAAATTGTTGATAAATGCTTTGAATTCCATGAAAGTTATGATAAAAGTTAATTGTTGATTTTAACTTAAATTTTATCATTTTTTTAGCTAAATCTGATGGTGGACTAAATTAGTGGTTGTTTATATTTTATTTTAGATCCATGCTACAATGATATAATTATTGACATAATATTACATGACACTACATTATTGAAATGTTTTAAACACGACCATCTTTTCATTCAATTACATTTTGTCAACTTTTATTATATCACTATATTTGTCAACCACTCTCTCAATGTCATAACCCTTTTATTTTGCAGCCGTGCTATTGAGCCAGGTTTAGTGCCAGGCTCAAAAACATGTCACCTTAGCCCCCGATTTCACATCTTTTCTTTTTTTCCAAATCCAAGGGCCGAGGTGCTGCCACCTCGGCACCTGAATTTAGCCCTGTTTTAGGGCCTATTCAAGCAAGTTAATTCTTTATTTTGCAGATTGTCAGACTTATGAGTTATGACCATTCAATGCCGGGAAAAGGTTTAGAGAACAGTTTGAAAAGTTGGTAAACAAGTTTGGTACAATTTAAATACTATTTATTTCTAGTAACTTAATGACAAATCTAAATCATAATCTAATCAACTCCAGAAGCTCTAAAATTCCATATGCTAGTAATTTCTATTTTTCCTATGTCATCTATAATTTTATGGTGATTTTTTTATTTTTTATTTTATGTAAAATTGTATTTACAGACTTCAATGTGCTACCGTCGCTGATAATAAGACTTGATTTATACGTTTAACGGCCAGACTCGTACACAATAAAGACAATTATACACTCAGAACGAATGAAAATTGTCCAAATTTTTGAAAGAAATATTTGAGTAAATAAGGTATCAAGAAGAAAGAGGGTGACACAACATCTTACCTGTAAATACATGTCGGAGAAATCCAGGCAAGGTGTGAAGTTGCTCTTAGGCATGTATTGATTATTTAATATTAGCATATGGTGAATACATGAGTAGTACTTTAAAATCTCGTTACTCTATAGATAAAAACAATGTTATACTATTATTTTGGTTGTGAGTACAAGTAAGAATGTTGTTATCACAAGTATAATTTTGTAATATTTGATACTATAATGTCTATTTTATTTCATACCAAAGTTCAAACTAAAGATAAGAGTTGATCAAAGCCACAACATCCATTAGTACATCCAACTTGACTGAGAGCCTAAGAGAAGAAATAAAGATTCTGTCGTTTTATTGGTCAATGGTTAAAGCTAGATACACAAAAAAAATAAACATAAAAAAAAAAAATAATAAATAAATAAAGTGAAAAGATCAATCCCAAATGGCAGGGATTTACTTTCTTAGGTAACTAGAGAAATTGTTATGAAGAGAACTCCCTCATTTGGTTTGGTTTGGTTTGGTTTGATTTGATTGTAGTAAGGGAGTAAATTTTAAAATAAAAAATAAAATCGCGACAAATTACAATTCGTAATAGATCACATGTGTGATAAGTAAATTAATAATGTTTCAAAACGAAGTGCTTATGAGTCGACTATGATGCCTTCCTAAAATATGAACCGATAATTATATCAATCATTGTTGTTATCTATACACCTTTGAGATGAGAAACCATTGTTGTGCATATGATATTTGTGTTTTTATGACTTTTGTTTATAATATAGTTTTTGCTTGGTTAAATATTCATGAAATAATGTAGTAAATTGAACAATTTACAATCTTTTTTGGAAAAAAATTAGTTTCATGAATTTTACTTGGTTATACAAATATGAAATATATAAATTTGTTAGATAAAAAATGGGAAATTAAAACGTAATGAAATAATATTTAATATTTGCTAAACAAATAATTTTTTTTCTTTTGTTCCAAAAATATATTTTTATAGAGGTTTAACTATATTTAATTATATAAATTGGTGATGATGTCGTCGTAACAAAAATCAAGCTATGTTTAGCTCTTGCTTGGTATAGATTAAAATCTAATCTCATTATCAATCTTGAAATGAATTTCTCGCCTCGATCAAGTATGGGTATGGAATTCAACTACTTGGATGGATCGCAATTGATGTTATCTTTACATTATTGTTCATTCAAGTAATGTTTACCATAATGAACTTTAAAGCTCAAAGCACTGTTATTACGTGCCGTCCCCCACCAGTTTCAAATTTGAGGAACAGGACATACAATGACTTCATAATTCATTCATTCATGAAACTGATTTATTACCAACCAACTTCAAGCCAAATTGTCAATAAAGTTTTAAATATTTTAAACTATTTTTATATTTGTCAAATTTGATTAAGCCCCGGTTTGTCAGGGATTAAAATCGAATTTTTAGTAAATTTTAATAAAAATTGATGAAATATATGGTTGAAAAATTTTGAATCCCATAAAATGTGTTGTTAAAATTAATTGATAATTTTGACTTTAATTAAAATCTGAATTTTATTTTCTACCAAACATATGCTAAATTTTACTCTAGTTGTTAGACAAATAAATAATCAATATCTTACTCATTATATGGGTGTTACATGGGATGAATCGAGTGATAACCACTCATAGGGTTATTACATCGGATAAGTAGAGCTGTTTGGTTCTTCTATCACCAAGCTTGATTCGGCTATAATTCACCAAATTTTTTTCTCCCGAGTGAAAATATATATATTAGTCATTATGATGAGTCGATAGGGAATTGTTGGTGAGCGGCTCGCACACGAGTAGACAAGCTCACGATCTAACTTGTACGAGCTGACGAGCTAGTTAACTCTCTACCCTCTTATAGCCCGATATTGCATTAGTTATTAGACAAAACGATTACCTTGAAAGGTTGGTTAAAAGAATTTGACTATACATTCAAGTTCACGTGTCCGCTCAATGCTCCAAAATTTCTTTTCACCGCACTTGCCTATTTCTCCCACACGCATTCCTCAAAAGTCTTGCACTTGAAAATGGTAGCGAGTGACAATACATGCTAGTGTATTCTACGAGGGGCGGATTCAGAACTTTTGCACTGTGAGGTCAAAAATTAAAAAATATATATATATATATTTTTTTAAAAACAGCATAATATTAATAAAAATAAGTTAATACGTATTTTAATACTTTGTCCCCGTCATTGTAACACATGTATTATCCAGAGTATAAAGAATATGATAACTTGACGTCATCTTTACCTTTCTCCAATTTATTGCTGATAATTTGTTCGATGTTCCAAACTTAATGATGACAACTAAATACGAGGGTAACGCTTATTTGCGAGACTTAACACCTTACGGCACGAGCTGACAACATATATACAATTTTACAAATTGAATAATTTTGTAAACGCTTGGGATTTTATATTAAATTGTATATATGTTGTGACTCAAATCCTTATAAATTGGTCTATATTTTTATCTTTATTCGATATAAGATTTGTCCCTTAACATATCTCGAGAGACGATGGCTCAATTGAACAAATCAATCTTAAAATTCGCATGCTCATTTTTGTAATCTTAGTCAAATCGAATTGCTCGATAGAGGTTCTAATGTTGTGTAAAGACTTGGGATTTCATCTTAAAAGATCGACCAGTGTAGATATTTTCATCTTTATTCGATTTGAGATTTATCTCTTAAGACATTTTAATATACTAGTAATGAGCACATGTGTTGCACGTCTTATGTATCGGATAAATGATGTGCATAATATTTTTAAAGTACTAAAATTATTTTTAAAAGTACTAATACTTTCTTAATTAATAATTTCTTTAAATTTATATGAGATTTATAAATTCTATGGATTGTTTGTGGAGATGACAAGAATTTTTGTATTTAATCTATAAATTTGCAATTTTGAATTATATATCTCAACATAGTCCATTTCGATCTTTCTTTATTGCTTCGACATTCGCGATGTAATCCCTCAATTTTGTAGGTTTAGACAATATTCGTGTTACTACATTCAAGAAGGAAAAACAAAATCTATAAAAATGTAGAATAAATTATCTAGAAAAATGATTAATACACTTTTTATCATCAATTTTACAGCCTTCAAGCCTCGTTCCACTCACTCAAACTACACATCGTCAATATAATATATTCATGAATAATGATAAAAATATAAAATACATAATGAAATTAAAAATCAAACATATAAAGATTTGAACAAAAAAAAAAGAAAAAATTCTTACTTTGATATAATAAAATTCTTATTTGATCTATTTGAATGTAAATGTGCCAAGTCAAATTTAGAAAAGTAAAGTATGTACAAATATGAATATTTGAACTCAAAAAATCGAGAAGACACATAGAATTGATATGAACAGGATAGAATTGATACGAACAAGACATTCAAGAAGGTCCTGGATATTGGTGGCTGGATTAATCGCAATTCCATCGAAATAGAATTGTGGTTCGCCAATTAGAATGTGAGTTTCATGATTGTAAAAATTAAAATTTAAGATCATTGAATTAATGCTATTAACCGAATTAAAATTTTTTTTTTTTTAATTTCTATAGTAATCTACGCTTACGCTACCTTCTGACTAGCTCCTGGGATAAAAATGTTTATTTAAGGTCATTCATTGAGTTCCTTAAACAACACTTGTTTTCCAGTTTCATGTTGAGTAAATTGAATTAATGGTGTTAATAAAGATTAATATACTAATTAATATTAGAAAATTAATCAGGAAATTATTGACGAATGGAAAAGAAAATTTTTAATTTCATGTCGAATAAATTGAATTAATGTTATTAATTAACTATTAACAAAATGAAAATTAAATAAGTGTATATTGGGTATACAGCTAAATATATAAATTGAATTTTTGATGTTAATAAAAATTAATATACTATTAAAAAGATTGATTTAGGAAATTATTAACAAATGGAAGACAAAAAGAATTTTTTTTATTTTCATGTTGAATAAATTGAATTAATGCTATTAATTAATTATTGACAAAACTAAAATTAAATAAGGGTATATTGAACATATAACT